GATCTTTACTTAATATCCTAATGATTTTTGGCATAAAAGAAAAATCAATAATTTTGACCCATACAATGTATTTTTGGCTATTGCTACAAATATACCCCAGCGACTTAAAACTGCTTTTGTGCTCCAGGGTCACATATTACACAAAGATTTCATACATTTTTAGGTTTGTCCAAATACTTTCTGTTAGTTCCACAAATCCTGTCCTAAAATACAGAAAGTTGCTGTGCATACAGAACAAGGAGGTTCATGTCAGGTATACAGTGTGAAGTAAGTTTGGGTTTTGATTCCCCCTGCTGGTGAGTGTGATGTGTCTCACCTCCTGCAGTGCTGTCGCACCTGCTCCAGCTCATACACAGTGTAGGGCCGGCTGGACTTGTGAGAGGGCAGTCCTGGGGCAGAGGGCAGAGTCACCAAGTGCCTGGAAAAACATTCAGAGACTGTGAGAGACTTTACTATACTATAGTGTTTACAACCACAATGTAAGGATGTCTAATGATTACGACAAGAAGAATCTTTTTAAATAACTAGTTCTTAAAGGAACACTCCACTATTTTTGAAAATAGTGTAATATCATTGCGCCTGCTGCACCCATGGTACGGCAGCAAAGATCAACTTTTCATTTTCCGTCGGTCTTAGTACACGATGTAACTACAGAAGAGTCAAGTTTTAAGTATGACAAATTTCGATGAGCGAGATGCTAAAGAAACAACAAATGAGCGAGATGCTAACGGTCTAATCAGATTCAATGATCTATGCTAAGCTAAGCTAAAAGTGCTACCGCCAGACCCGGAGATCGGCTGAATGGATTCGAAAACGGTAAAACTCAACTGTTTAACTCTAGGGGAGTTGGAAAATGAGCCTATTTTCAAAAAATAGTGGAGTGTTCCTTTAAACTAGTTCTATAACTAGGTCTTAAAACGTAATATCTGCACTTTCAAACCACAAATGTGATTGAATGACAAAAAAAATCAAGTAAAATGCAATGCAATACTCCCTTGATTATACTTAAGTGCTACTACCGCAATCATTTAAAAAAAAATTATTTAACACATATAAGGTATTTTTCTTAATCACGTATATCAGTTAGTTTTCCTAAATTTGCAATTTCATTACTATATATTTTTCTAAAACTTGCTGACCTTGACAAACAGTGCTGAGAGTCTACAAGGGTTATCTATATGATATCATATAGTTTTCTTGTCACATAAAAAACAAAATAGCTTCCTGCATTTAACCACACCACACTGATTAATATTATATCAACCTAAATTTACGTTTAATTAGACATCTTTGACTTGAAGCCCCACAAAACATATTAAAATCAATTTTAATTCAGAAATTGAAACATGTTTATTATAGATTTGTATTCATGTCATTATAAACAATTTAATGTATTTTTAAATACCTTAATACGTTTTGACAAAAACTTGGGTAACACTTTACAGTAAGGGCCCATTAATAAACATTAGATGATGCATTAACTAACAATGAGCAAGACATTTGTTACAGTATTTGTTCATCAAAAAAATATAACTTAATTTTTAGGTCATGTTAGCTGAGGTTCATTAAATAATATTACCAGATACAGCTTTTGAGCAGTGTATTGGTAAATGCTGAAAGTAACATTAAGATGATTTAGAAGTGTTTTCCATTGTTAGTTCATGTCTACTAATGTTAACAAATGAAACCTTATTGTAAAGAGTTACCAAAAAGTGTCATGTCAGTTGTCCTTTATAATATTTACGTACTGTCCTGGTGTCATCATATCCACTGGACGGTCACAGGAGATGCAGTGAAACCGGGCCACTAACTGTCTTTGACAAAGAAAGAAAGACACAAAGACAGTGAGGTTTATTTCCATGCAACCACCATCATCATGCATCAAATAGAGCTTATTCGAATAGTGATTGATGCAACATTTCAGCAACATACACAAAGATGCAAACGTATTCCCAACATGTACTCCTTTACATGCTTTGTATTATGAATTCAGCTCTGAATGCAACAATGTATGTTTTGACATACTTGTGTAGAGAACTTCGGGCATTAGGGTTCAGTATATGTTTGACTTTAGGTTTAAGGTCAAGCTTAGTGACTATTGGCATAAAGTTTGATCCACATTGCATCTGCTCAAGAACCACTCGCTTAGTCAGGAAGAGTCCATATGAACACCATGCAAGGCTAGGCAGTCCAACCTGATCTCATGAGAAAACACGACTATTTGTTGATTCTTTATTCATTTAAATTAAAATTTAATCCATACAAAACCGTACGTTTTTTAGGATAACAAACTAAGCATGAAGGTCCATCCCTAAACCTAACCCACAGTGCACAAAAAGACAGATCGTACAAAAAAGTATGAATGAGATTGTACGAATTCACCACCAATTCGCCAAACGCGCATTGCTTACGATTGCCATGAGAGTGTGTTGACCAGTCTGAAAGTCTAGACGAAATCAGTAATTTCAATAAAAATTCACATAATCAGAAATTTCACTTACATTTTTTGAACAGAATGATGCTTGGTGTGAAATTGGGTTTTGTGTTAGCTGTGCTTTGTGCATCATACACTATTGACAGTGGAGAATGGACCTTTCTGGCCGGTGAAATTTCACTCAAATTTTGCTAATTTGTCTGTGCCTTAACCAAAGATTATAGAATACCCAAGAAGTGTCACTCGTATAGTTTGAATGGGGAAAAATGCAACGCTCAATATGGCTGCTCTATTGAATGAAGCCCCGCCTTCTGAGTAAAAGAGCCAATCGCTAATCACTAGGGCTGGGCAAAAAAATCGATTTTTCGATTAATCGTTTTTTTAAAATGACGTCGATTCGATATCGATTCTCAACAGCCGCGAATCGATCTTTTCCAGTATTTATTTCAGCATACATTTAAAACAAGATCTGATTAACGTGAATCTTATCTACTGTTAATTTTTTTTAGAAATATCAATAGCATTTGTATTAAAACTATATTCACTGAATGTAATCAAAAAATCGAGAATCGAGTCGAATCGAGAGCTTGTGAATGGAAATCGAATCGGGACATCTGAATCGATACCCAGCCCTACTAATCAGTAAAGTCAACGTGTCACTGCAGCTGCCGTTAGAAGTCCCGGTTGCTATAGAAACAGAGTTCTGAGACGTGCGCCTTAGGACTGCACATGAGCACTGGCTAATCTAGCCTGAAAAATACGCTTTTTTTAACGCTATTTGAGCAAAATAAACATTTATGACAACTGCACAGTTGATATCAGATTTCTTGGTGATTTCAAATATATAACCAAAGTCCCTTTAAAGGGGTCATATGACGTTGCTAAAAAGAACATTATTTTGTGTATTTGGTGTAATGAAATGTGTTTATGCGGTTTAAGACCCCTTTAGGAATCTGATATCAACTGTCATAAATGTTGTTTATTTTGCTCAAATAGCGTTAAAAAAATCTTCTTTTTCAGGCTAGATCAGCCAGTGCTCATGTGCAGTCCTAAGCGAACTCTAACGGTAGCTGCAGTGACGCGCTGACTTTACCGATTAGCGATTGGCTCCTTCATTCAGAAGGCGGGGCTTCCTGCGATTGAGCGGCCATATTGAGCGTGGCATTTTTCCCCATTCAAAACTAGAGTGACACGTCTTGGGTATTCTATAGTCTTTGATATAACAAAGTGGAATATGCAGAAGTGCTCATTTAGTTAATATATATATAATAATTATATATAATGTATAATTAGAAAAAGTGAATCTGGTGCCTCACTTCCTGAGTCCAGCGGCGTCGTCCTGCTCGGGGATCGGAGGTGTCTGCAGATGCTTATGGATGGTCCTCCAGCGATCATCGAGCTGTTTCTTCAGAGGATCCAGCTCAATCCGGTTCAACTACAGTACACGACACACATAATCATAGTCCTTTTTATACATCAGTTCATGATGGAAGTCCAGGGGTTTGTGAGATTCTATACCGTAACAGAAATGGCAAATTAAATTAAATTAAATGTTTCTTTCTCGAAACATTAAGATTTTTTTTTTCATTGTAACATTAGATTCAGGGAAATTAAGCACATTTCCCTCCAAATTCTCATTACCTGATAAATATTCTCATTAGCATTATGTGAAAAAGTATCATAATACAATACTTAACTCCGAATTACCACAAAATAGTTTTTGAGTTGTTGTATTTATGGAAAGTTTAGAACAATTCTATCAGTGAGAAATTTAAATGTAGGGTAGGCGATTTCTGAGAGAAAGCATAAGATCCCACAGGGAAATTAAGCACATTTCCCTCCAAATTCTCATTACCTGATAAATATTCTCATTAGCATTATGTGAAAAAGTATCATAATACAATACTTAACTAAAAAATTGTTTTTGAGTTGTTGTATTTATTGAAAGTTTAGAACAATTCTATCAGTGAGAAATGTAAAGGTAGGGTAGGCGATTTCTGAGAGGCTAGCAATAGCAAACTAGCTTTGAAAGCATAAGATCCCACCCTCATTGCAAATCACTCTCCAAAGCCACGCCTCCTCCAAAACACATGAACGCGCGTGCACAGACAGAGCAGAGGCTAACCATGGCGTTGATGGAGGGTTGAATGCCTCATGTCTGCGAGAACAGGGTGCGCGGAGGTATGCAAATACATCCTCAGACTAGGGATATGATTGGATGAAACATTTTATGGTCCAACGCCTTCCACAGACGATATAAAAACATTTAGAAAACTTAACTTAGTGATTGCTATCGGGATGTGACTTTCAACCAGCATAACAAAAATTATTTTTGAACCAAATCACCTACCCTGCCTTTAAGTCATATGTGACCCTGGACCACAAAATCAGTCTTAAGTGTCAATTTTTTGAAATTGAGATTTATACATCATCTGAAAGCTGAATAAATAAGCTTTCCATTGATGTATGGTTTTGTTAGGATCGGACAATATTTGGCCGAGATGCAGCTATTTGAAAATCTGGAATCTGAGGGTGCAAAAAAATCTAAATATTGAGAAAATCATCTTTAAAGTTGTCCAAATGAAGTTCTTAGCAATGCATATTACTAATCAAAAATTAAGTTTTGATATATTTACGGTAGGAAATTTACTAAATATCTTCATGGAACATGATCTTTACTTAATATCCTAATGATTTTTGGCATAAAAGAAAAATCGAAAATTTTGACCCATACAATGTATTTCTGGTTATTGCTACAAATATACCCCAGCGACTTAAGACTGCTTTTGTGCTCCAGGCTCACATATGGGTTCATAAAGGTGGGAAAGTATGTTTACACTATGGAGATGTTAAATGAGCTTAACTGCTTCTGTCCATCCGTCTCTCACCTTGCAGTCCATCTCAGTGGAGATCTTCTCGATGACCTTGTTCCAGTCCTGCTCCTGACCGCCGATCTTACTCAGCAGATCCTGTAACACGTTATTGAGCTGCTCTGTCATGCTGTCGAACTGCATGCGGCTCACCTTGCTCTCCAGAGCCCGTTTGTCAGCTTTCTAAGGCGCAAACAGATGACATCCACTGACTTGAGAGTGACTGCTATGGTCCGACGGGGCCCACAAAGAGTTCATGAACTTAAATTGTTTATGAACTGTTTAAAGAAACAACTCACGATTTCAATCTCCATTTCCACCACTTCCTTGTCAGCTTTCTTTTCATCCAGTTCCTCCACAATCTTGAACAGATGCTGGAAAACACACAACTTAAGTGACAGGATGTAAATTGTGTCTTATTTTGCATATAAATTGCCAAAGATTTTGAGTTGAGTTAAGGGTGTGGGAATTATAACTAGCTTTATTTAAGAACAACTTAAGTCAACCACCATGATGTGAAACATGGCATGTGAAAGTACATTTTACCGTCTACAACAGCATGTTGCGTCCATTAAAATACTGTCTACAGTAGCTCACTACGGTTTGAAACAGAGCTAGGCTAATACAGTTTTATTCATAGCAAATGAGATAAATTGCTGACACTACATAAACACTTATTTTACTCAATATTTACTGAAAATCCAAACATTTCCAAAATATTTACTATTTCCCTTGTGGAAAAGAAGTGTGCTTAATTGTGTAAGTGTTAGTGCACTTCAAATCTTAAAAGTATATATTTATACTTGCTAATGCAGTAAAAGGCCACTTAAATGCACTTAAAGAAAGACATGATTCTTAACACATTTAAGTACAATTTTAAAAAGTACTTAATTATCACTGTTACTCGATATTACATCTAAAGTTATTATATTTTTAAATGTGCTAAACTGCAAATTCATTACAAATGTGTAATCACAAACATTTAAATACAAAACATATAAGTTGCAATAGTAATGTCATTAAAGTAGATTTTAGCTTAGCATAAATGCTTGTCAGTACATTCGGTACAAAACTTTAATCATATTTCAAAAACAACAGAAGCAATTGTTAAATTACATATAAAGATGTAGCCTACTTAAGTCCTACTAAAAACACTCTGGCCCAGTTTCACAGATGGGGCTTAACTTAACTTAAGATATTTAAGTTAACTTAAGATATTTAAGCAGCTTTTACAAAAATGCCTTAGAAGAAAACGTTACAGGTGTGCATCTTGACACAGAACAATGGCACTGACATATTTTAAGATATGTCAGAGCAAGATATTTTCAGTTGAGGTAGCTCAAACGTGCATTTTGGTCTGGGACCATCAATGGAAACAACATGCACAGGAAGAGATATTTTTGAAAAACTCAGTGGTAAACTGAAAGAACTTGGTCTTTGTTGGGACAACTGTGCACAGATGGAGCGGGATCAATGTTAGGGAAAAATAAAGGACTCGCTGCTTTGGTTCGTGAAGTAGTAGAAACGTTCGTTTCACCCACTGTATGATTCACAGAGAGGCACTTGCAGCAAAAACTCTTCCTGCGGAGTTGAACGCAGTGCTTCAAACAGCAACACAAATTGTAAATTTTATAAAGACTCGTCCCACAAAATCAAGACTGTTTGGCCTGTTGTGCAAAGAAATGGGGTCAGAATATGAATCGTTACTTTTGCACACGGAGGTAAGATGGCTCTCCAGAGGGAAAGTACTGCAGCGGATATTTTCATTGCGTGACGAACTGAGGATTTTTCTGCTTGATTGTGGATCATCTTTTGCAAATTATTTTACTGACGCTAAGTGTCTGACATTTTTGATAGACTTAATACCCTTAATTTGTCTCTTCAGGGGCCGAATTCAAACCTACTAACAATGTCCGATAAAATTACGGGGTTTGTGAGGAAACTGGAGCGATGGAGAGGGCAGGTTGATGGGGGAAATTTAGACATGTTCCCGACCTTGGATGAATTTCTCACGGAAAATGAGCTTAACTGGGATGTTACAAAAAAAGAAATCACTCTCCATCTGCAAGCCCTGTCTGCACATTTCAATAAGTATTTTCCTGAGCAGCATTGTTGCAACCAGTACGATTGGGTTAGTAACCCCTTCATCAAAAGCACAGTGAGTCTGTCATCAAATCAACAGGATGCCCTTCTGGATCTTTCAAGTGACCGTACTTTGAAGACACTGTTCGACTCAACCACACTGTCAGAATTCTGGCTGGCAGTGGAGACGGAATACGCTGAACTTTCGAGACTTGCAATTGATGTAATTTTGCCTTTTGCCTCAACTTGGCTGTGCGAAGCAGCATTTTCTGTATATACGTACATCAAAAGCAAGTATCGCTCATGCTTATTCACAGTGGAGGATGATTTACGGTTAGCCATGTCTGGAATCCAACCACGGATTGGCATGTTGTGCTCTCAGAGACAGACTCAGCCATCACACTGAATCAGGTAAGCTGGTTATATATTTGTTTCAATGTAATTAATTCTACACACTCGATACGCAGCAAATAATATGTGAATGATGTTCGCACACACATTACTTTGGGCTCGCGGGAGGGGCACTGTCAGAATTCTGGCTGGCAGTGGAGACGGAATACGCTGAACTTTCGAGACTTGCAATTGATGTAATTTTGCCTTTTGCCTCAACTTGGCTGTGCGAAGCAGCATTTTCTGTATATACGTACATCAAAAGCAAGTATCGCTCATGCTTATTCACAGTGGAGGATGATTTACGGTTAGCCATGTCTGGAATCCAACCACGGATTGGCATGTTGTGCTCTCAGAGACAGACTCAGCCATCACACTGAATCAGGTAGTTTTTTTTACTCTCATAGATTTTGTTACCATTGCCATGCATTATACGACTGATATACTGCAACGGTTAAAGTTAAAAATCATCATATGTGTTCTACTGAAGAAACAAAGTCACCTACATCTTGGATGCCCTGGGGGTAAGCAGATAAACATCACATTTTCATTTTTGGGTGAACTATCCCTTTAAGCCTTGTCTGTGAAACTGGGGGTCTAAAATTTAGTTAACTGTATTTGATACAAATTTTATCTATAATACATGTTCATTTAATTGCAATGAGTGTCTGAAATAAGTGTCATAACTGATAAGTGTCTGTAATGTTTAAAAGTATGATAAAGTGTACTTATTTTTTTCACAAGGGTAATCATTTATATCAGTCACCCTCAATCTGAAACTGAATATACTGTAACTGCCCATGGAAGACAGCAGAATAGTTTCTCGATCAATCAACACATGTTGGTATTGATAAGCTGTGATCCTCTCACTCACTCCATGAGGCTGTCGGTTTACTCACATCGATGTGTGTCTGTTTCTTGCCGTGTTCCTCGGTCAGGTGGTTGGATGTTCTGTGGAGTTTCTCACACTTGGACTGCAGCTGCAGTATGGCTGCCTCTACTTCACTCACCAGATCAGTGTTCTGCGGCGAAACAATATCACACACACACACAAACACACGCACGCACGCACACACACAAATAGCTGTTTTCTATTTGAATAGATTTTATTTTATTCATGTGATCAAAGCTGAATTTTCAGCATCTTTACTCGAGTCTTCAGTGTTACATGATCCTTCAGAAATCATTCTGATATGCAGATTTGCTGCTCAAGAAACATTTATTATTATTATCAGTGTCAAGAACAGTTTAAATCAGGATTCTTCGATGAATAGAAAGTCCAAAAGAATGACATTTATTTGAAACATAAATCTGTACTGTCACTTTTAATGCATCCTTGTCAAATGAAAGTATTGATTTGTTTTAAAAATAATTAAAATACTCATCCTAAACATTTGAACGATAGTGTATTTTTGGTAAAATATTGTAATACATGAAAATATACAAGGAAGGATCAAGCAGCTAATCGAAAGAGTCAAGCAAACTAGCCATGCTCATATAAAAGCACAATCAAAATGATAATGTTGCAATGCAAATCACTGTGAATATATCATGAATGTTTGAAACATGTCTGTCTGACCTGCTCTTGTATGTGTCTGTCTTCACTGTATCTCTCTTCTGCTCTGTCACGCATCTTCTCTCTTATCAGCTCCCGCACTTTCTCATCCAGCTTCAGCACTGCAATCCTGCATGTGTGTGTGTGTGGCATACAGTGAAAAAATATTTCTATTCTGCTTTCTTTTCTAATTTATTAAAGGTGGGGTAAGCGATTTTTCAAAAACGCTTTAGAAAACTGATTCGGGCCGACTAGCAAAACAAACTTGTAGCCAATCAGCAGTAAGGGGCGTGTCTACTCATGATGTGGAAAAGAGAGCGTTCAGTGCACAGGACGGACATTAGTCGATCGACAGAAAGATAGAGATGGCGGATAAAAAACAAAAGAGGAAAACGTCTGCGGAACAAAAGAAGGCTTAAGGCAAGAAGTAGGACCCGTGTAAATATCGGATCAGCTTTCTAGCACTGGAGAGAACACAAGGAGCGGAAGGCCTGCGATCGGACGCCAGGTTGCTTTGTTTCTTCTCGATAGGTGAGTAACACCGTGTCTGCGCCACAACAGCTAAAGTCTGTCTAGTACACTGGACGCGACAAAGCGACCGTTGAAAATCATTTGAAATTTGTGTCAATACATCATAAATAGAATGCAGCAGCAGTTTTCTGTCAGGGATTTGTCATGCCGCGCCGCATCCAGTGATCAACATTGGCTACCAGAAATCGCTTACCCCACCTTTAAGGTCCAGATTTAACTGCTGATAAAAAAATAAGTGGGACGACTTCCTCCAGAAAACTGAGAAACAATTTGATTCTAATATAGTGTCATTATCTAAATGTTGTAGTTGTATTAGTACAGCTTTTTTTCTGACACTGCATTCTCATTACCGCAACCGATGCTACATTTAAAACACAGTGGTTTTAATGACCAATTCTGACCACTAAATGCAAATCAAAATTAATGGCAGGTGAAACTGTGGGATAGGTTTTGTCCCATGTCAAACTGAGATGAGTAGTACCTGATGTGAGCCGTCTGCAGGTTCAGCTGCTCTATCTGTGAGGCGTGTGTGTCCTGACCGCTGACTGAAGCAGAGTCTGAGCTCTCACACACCTGCACTGTCATGTTCATCAACACACTCTCCATGTCTGTCACCTACAGGAATCATCTAGACTGTCACATGCTGCTTCTGCTCCTGTGTGTGTCTGTGTGTTGGACCTACATGAAACTGATGAAAAATGTCCCTGGAAGTAAACTAAATCTGACAGAACCTCCTTTAGGGGATGCCATTAAGGAAAAAAGTGGTTTATGCATAGGCTGTATGCCATTCAGATAGTATGCCATTTTAATAGTGTAAATGTAATCGAGAGCAACAGTCGTGTTCCGGATGTAAAATGTGTTTAAGTAGGGTTGGAGCTAAACTCACATGTGTGTGTCATTTTCTTTTCTTTTTTTAAGAAGTCTCTCATGCTCATATACAAAACACCTAAGAAGTCCAATGTGAAACCAAAGTTTGCCCAACCCTGCTTAATGTAAAGATGATTTTTGTACAGTTTTCAGTGTTAAAATGCTTTCTCCTATCCCAGATAAATTGATTGCACCAAAACGTGCTAACACCGGGTCTTTGTGATGCTATCAGTACATTGCTCTTTGTTTGAGCATCCTGACCAGCCCAGCACTGGTCGCTCAGTCACCGGCATTAGTTTAGGGTGGGACTATCTGTCTGACTGACACAAATGACACACTTATAAGAACAATAGAAGTCTAGGTGAGGCTCTGTTAAATAATTACAGAAATTGTAAAAATAAGCAGCTTCTTAAGGGATCGTAAAATCGAATAATAACAAAATGTAAAGATAGGGTTAAAGGAGTTTAGGGTGTAGTAATTATTAGTTTCATTTTAAAACAATGGTCAGTGTGAGTGTTTCTCTCACACCTTCTCTTTATCTGCTAGAAGACTGTCCACAAGAGTCCTCAGATGATTCAGCTGCTCCGGGACATGGTCAGGAATCTGCCTCTCTTCTACAGACATCACAAAACATATCAAACAAAACACACTTAGACAAACATACTAGGGCTGTCAAAATGGCTGAAAAACTAAATTCGAATTTTGTACTTAAATATGATCAAAATTTGAACCAGATTAAAAAAAAAACACTGGGTGGATTTTTATCATTATAGGGTGGTTGTGTACAAATACTGCCAACACACATTTCAGTTCAAACTACTTGTAAAAGTGCATGTAGCATCGGATGACCCCTTTAAACAACTGTAAACTAAACGGCATCATATATGTATGCATAGTTTAATACAAAGGCCCGAAAGCCAATCACACAGAGTACATTTTTCATTTAAAAACACGAGTTGCAGTGCGATGGGGAAAAACCTGCCATAAAGTCTCGAGATGTGTTTTTTTCAAAGTTAAACTTGCATTAATTTTACATGGCTTTCTAAACATGCGGCTCTTTTGTGCGAGACGCGAGTGCAACG